GTAATTGTAGTAGTGACAAAACAGCTGCAGGGGAAATCAGATGGGGAGGGGGGAGGCGGCGAAAGGAGTTTCGTTCACTTTGGTCGTTTGTTTATTTTATTGGTTGTCTAACGCTCTCTAACACTATCTAGGGTCAAGCCTGGAAAAAGAAAGGATCACTACTTTGGTGAGAGGACGTAGATCAGCAAGCAACTTTGGTCGCGCCGACGCGGGCCAACCCTCTCCCCTCCGCCCCAACTCACTTCATCCGTGACATTTTCGAAAAAAATCAACAGCTCCATAGATTTTCGATTTGCTGTTGAGTTTCTTGGCTCTTCAAAGTGGAAAGTTTTCTAGGGACTGTTATAAAATCAGGTGTGAACCTGGTTCCTGAGAAAAAAATTGACATGAATGAAAGAGGAGTGCAGGAAAGGCATGAAGTTATAATGTTCATTTTCTGAATGCCATCTTCATACGTGTTCTGCTGTGTGATGCACGAAAACCGGTTCACACAGTCCATATCTGTCTGTTTCATGTTTGGTGGCTTATTCCAGGAAAAACCGGCTCAATGGTAGCGGACTGAGAGCGATTGGAAGATGATTAAACGTCGCAGCCTTGGAATGGCAAGGATCGGCGCTTCGCCGCCTCCTGTTATTCATGAGCAATTTCGTAGTCCATTGATGGTGCCAAAATCACCTGAAGAGGGCGCCAGGAGGAAAAGGAAAAAATTGATGAAGATACAGGTTACTAGTTCAAGTTTTGACTACAGCCACCCTTACTGTGGATTATTCCCCAATTTCAATGGAAGTAGGCTGGTGGACTTAAAGGCACATTCCACGAAGGTGATTTGGGCACAGTCACACCTAACGTTTGTGCTCCCCCATTTTTGAGACGAAGAGGAAAGAAGGGGCACTTTAATGAAGAAAGCACAATGATAGGCCCGACTGCGCACACAAGATCAGCGTGGACTGTGCTATCCACCATTAAAGCTCAGGCATCCTTCAGAATCCTTTCAACAGTGAAAGAGAAGACGTCATAGATCCACAACGACTGAAGCTGATCGACCGAAACGCTATGATGACTCGAGATGCGGCCGAACACGAGGCAATGATTGCTCGGCTTCTTTCCAGGCCTTTCACAATACCACTGGCTGGTTACTCTTGTAAGTTCGCTTTCTCTAGCTTGCTTAGGACCCTAAGGAACTCCTTTTTTAGTATCTGGCCGCGTTCTGGGAATGGCTCGGTCCAGAATGCGTGTCGCCATGTTTGATCCTTATGCTGAGAATGCTGTGGTCTTATACACACCCCCTTCTCTGTCGGCACATGAGCAAATGAATTTGAAAGAAGAAGACAAATTAGTGAGAACTTGTAGATTTCGAGTTAGTACCCTAGCACCATGTCACAGAGAAGACATTTCAGGTCCATGTTGTCGTTGACCCAGTTGTAGGCAATATTTTACGGCCACATCAAATAGAAGGGGTGCAATTTATGTACAACTGCGTTACTGGACGGAATATTGAAGGGTGAGATTTGACATCGTGTTCTCCATCATTTGGACACATCCGACCATGAAAAGCGTTACCAAGACGCGCGCGGTCGCGTTGCAGGTTCACTGCTTTCCGGCCGAGCTTGCGCGTGCTCAACAGTATGTGTTTTTCGCAGCTTGTGCTGTAGCCATTTCCTTCACCGGTATGATTGCCTAGAATGCCAATGACGCCGTTATCATAGGCAGTAGAGCCGAGCCGCGACCGCACGCGTCTCATGCGTGGTATTTCGCGCCAGGATAGATCCTACTATCGTCATCCAAATGGTTACTTCATAGTACAAAAGGGTTGTTAAGGTACCATGGCTGTATTATGGCTGATGAGATGGGTCTTGGAAAGACTTTACAGTGTATTACTTTACTATATACCCTGCTTCGTCAAAGCCCCGAAGGCAAACCGACTATTTCCAAGGTGATCATCGTGAGCCCCAGCAGTTTAGTCAAGGTAAAGCAGTCTTTCTAAATTCTGCCTCTGAGACTACGTTCATACTTCGCGACTCGAGCGATTTAGCAGCGCGATTTGCGTCCACCCATGCTCCATAGCCAGTCGTTGAGCCGCTGGAACGATCAAAAGGAAAATTGTCCTCAACTATATAAATTTAGCAATCGCAGCGGTCCAACGATTAGCGATGTAGTGCGGCCGGTCGCGAAGGCACGATTTTGAAAGCGGGCAGAGTCGTTCCAGTCGCGGAGTATGAACGCGGTCCAACTTCGCCTTCGTGATGTTCCTGCAGTTCGTTTTAGAACTGGGATAAAGAGATCAAGAAATGGCTAGGCCAAAGGATCAACGCATTGCCGATGGATTCCGGCAGTAAACAGGAGATAACGAGCAAACTTAGTAGGTAAATTATATTTGTTTAAATCCGGTCCTTTTCAGCGTTTTACTGTAAATACATCAATGACAATATTTAGAGGGTTATATGGCTGATGGACGAGTAAGAGCTGCCAGTCCTGTGCTCATCATTTCCTATGAGACTTTCCGATTGTATGCAAAAATTCTTCATTCAAGTCAGATTGGAATGGTGATCTGTGATGAGGTGACTTATCTGACGTTATTGTAGCTGGGA